TAATAGTTCAGAACAGGAATTTCTTAGAAATAAAATGAAGGAAGAAAAAAATCCCCTATTTCCCCCTCAGTTAAATGGTGGGCTAAATCCTAAGAAAAAAAGTAAATCTCTAAATCCTAGAGAAAAAAAGGAATATGAAATAAAAACCATAGCAGATTAAATTAAATCAGTAGCAAGGCTGTCAAAAGAAGTTTGTAGAAAATGATGTAGCATGCTTAAAACTAATTAAAAAAACAAACAAACAAAAAAACAAACACATTGGGATAATGGGAAGCCAGAGAGTATTTAGGGAAAACAAGATCGATATATATAAAGTGCAGTTTGAAAAGATAAATCCCAATCAGAAAAACTAATTATTACACCTACTTTCAGTGGGTTGGAGAGGGCAAACAGCATACAATGGACCTTGTTTTAATGCAAAGAGGATTTGGAGATTTGTCTAACGTGCAGATGTCAGTAAAAGCATTATACAAAAATTGACAACAATAAACAATTACAGCTAGAAAGACATGAAGATATCTAATGGAACTAAAGTATGAACTAGATGAATTATCGATCATGGTATGTAAATTCTTGCATAAATTTAACTCAGTACCAGTGATTCAGAAGCTGACAGTTATGACGTGAATTTCCCAAACTGTTACCTGGGAGAATTCAAACTACTGTAGACAGGATAATGTGTGTAATATTCAATATAATCTTTATAATAATCTGTATAATCATAATTTAAATCATTTAGAACAGTGTTATGGCGCATATGGATGAAGGAAAAGAGTTAAAATCAGTTTTGTAATGGGAGGTCACCTGTTATGAGTCTAAGGACTTCTATGAATGAATGAGCATAATTAAGGGACCTGCAGATTACATAACCAGTTTTCTCCAAGGCAACACCTTTACCAAAATCTTTTAATAAAGATGTTGTGAGAGACGAAAGATGATGTCTCCATAAATAACATTTACAAGATGGGGAACAAACTGTGGGGATATGCAGCCCTTACCATGAAGGGAAGGAACCTTTGCATTTTATGGGGAACTTTCCCATATTTGTGTGTTCATAATATCAAGTGCTGATAAACAGTTATGATTGTCAGCTAGTTTAGAAACACAGAAGCTGACAGTGAAGACCCGGAGAAGGACATACCAATGCTGACTGAGTGGTATAGTATCAAATAAATGGGTTAGAAAGTGAGGCATTGGGACACAACCTATTAGCCTAGGGATGAGCTTTGAACTCCACATTCATTTCCAAGTGCTACAGTCCCAAGGATTGGGATTCTAGTTTTGTAATATTAAATCTTGAGCTCAATTTCCAGTAATTAAAAACATATAAGAATTATTAAGGTTAAAAAAAACAAAGACAAAAATGAAAATATAATTCACAGAGTATGTGCACTAGTGGTATACAGCCTGAATGGTATGTGCTGTTTGTCTCCATTTAAAAAAATGTACAGACAAGATTATCAAGATAGTCAAAAGTATGGTATGAACACTTTCTTTAAGATAAAAGAAAAGCTTCTTTAAGGTGCAAGAAAAGAAAAGGATTTTGTGTGGTGCAGAATCCTATAGAATTTTGAGTGGCACAGGGAAGGTAAATAGGGAACAAGAATTCTTATCTCATTTGGAACAAACAAAAGAAGTAATTGGTTTGCATAATATATAGACAAGATATGTTTGTCAGAGGATAACCTGGATGGTAAAAAATAGCTGAGATTCAAAGAACAGAAACACATTAAGTGATGTGTTGTGAAAGCTGAATTCAGATTTGAGAAGTGCATGAGCTATTAAGTGTTATTAAAACTGGATCCCTTTCATTGGTTTTGTCTGTTGGCCAGCGAATGCTAAGTTAAAGGGGGTTTTGCTTTTTCCTCTATGAACTTTCATATGGTCTTTTAAGTCCTACAGATGACTGATACATTCTCCTGGATTCTCTGACTCAGGTGCACAGAAACCTTTCCTGATATGCAAGATTGAAACTGTTGTCTCTTAATGGTTGCACTTCATCAGGTAAAGGGGAGTAGAGGGCATTATCTCTATAAAATAGCATTATGTGATGCAATGGTTTTTGTTCAAACTGTTCTGATATCAGACATTAAGTATGGTTGTGGCTACAGATCTACCTTATGAGTCATATTATTTTCATTTCAGTAATGTGATGAAATTGCTGTTTGGATGACTTGCTCTCGACACAGAGGCAGAACACAGGCCATAGGGAGATTTAGCTGTGCCAAGTGCTGTACACAGCAGGTGTACTGACATGCATGTGATTTATTCAAGCTTATTTTCTCAACTGATATTTCTCATCTTGACCTAGAGATTAAGACTGAAATCAGGAGAGTCTTAAATGAGGGGCACTTCCAAGAATAGATTTGAAGCATAGCTGGAGATCACTGATATAGTCAAGAAAGAAATTGAATAATCCAGGTCATAAATATGTAGAGAAATTTCTTTCTGTATATAGTTTTATTTAATCTTAAAATATAGTTAATTGAAACCTATTTAATAAAGAGTTGTCTGATAGGAGCTATTTCCTAGAGTTTTGGAATTCAGGCATGAAAATTGTCTTGAAGTTGCTTAAAAATATAGAAGAAAATTAGTCTTTCATCAATTAATTTGAAAATGTGCAGTGAAGAGAAGGACAAATATTATGTGCAAGGTTCTGGAGTACTGATTAAATGTATTGTAAAATATCAACTAGGCAGAAGGGTACTGCAGAAAATGGCTCCTGTGAACATCCAGAGAGCTCAACACTGCAGAAATATGCTATTCTCATAGTTTTATGTTTGCCTTTTCAGACAGCGAAAAATAGTTACAATCGTTTCTTTCTGTTAATTGAGCTAAACTCTTAAAATATCTTAAAAAAAAAGACATTACTTTTTTTATCTAGAACAATTATATATCTAGATGATTTTCCTAAATATCTTTCTTTATATGTTTAGTGTTTTGTAAATAGTATTGGAATTATATTTTTAAACTAATTTTTTTATTCAAAAAAGTGCAGCATTTCAGAAGACAACACGTATTCAGAGCTATGTTTTGTTCCAAGTGCAAAGAATACATTTCAATGGACTGTAGAAAGATTCTGTGGTAGTATGTGGATTTCCATGCTTAACATTTAGAAATGCTATGTCAAATAAACACCAAATCAATATCTCATCAACATGACAAAATCGTGATTCTAATTGTAAATTACATAGCAATATAGAAAAGGTTAATCTTTAAAAAGAAAAGTAATTAGGAATTCATGTTTAATTCTAAGTGCTAGTTTCTTTTCCAATTAAGATTCATTTGGTCATAGTCTTTTTTTATGCTCATCAAACATGATGTTCAAACAAAACAAAATGCCCGGAATTCATGCAGAGAGGAAATAACATCCTCATTAATGAGAATTCTTCATTATTTCTATTATTCAGGCACAAAAAATATAGTAATCTAATGAGTTATCTGTACTTGTTGTAAACTGTCTTGAAGATTAATCTTCATTAACTACTTGTTTAATGTTATAGTTAATAATTAGCTACCCTTTAGTCCTATATCATCCATCACTTTACTGAACTGAATCAATTCTTTTTTTAACTTTTAGGAGGTTGTTTATCTTTGCTTAAAGCTACTTTGGATGAAAGATATCAGAAAGGTTATAGAGTTCTGATTCTGTGAGAGCTTATTCTGCATGCCAACCACAAATCGTTCTTTATAAGTTTCCATGTTTATTGCTTTCAACAATAAAAAAGAAAATGCTATTGCCATTTTCTCCAACATAAATGGCAGCCACATAAGTTTATATCCTGTTGACTCATAAACGTCTTCATACATTACTCAGTGGAAACAGGATGAGTGAATTAGCATAAGCTATTGGGCACTACAAATATTTTCTGAAAACTGTAAGGGTTGGCTTCTAATTGCTTTTAGTTTGGCAGAGAACCTCCCCTGCTTTGGCTCTCTAGGGTCTAATAAAGATTCAGGAACAAAATATTTAATTCTGGTATTTAAGAATTAAATTCTGCTGCTTGTAAGACCTTGGCTGGAAAAGGCCCATATAACATTGGCTTCTCTGGCATTTCAATATTTGACATCTTGATGATTTGTTAATTATCATCTATGTTTGTATTGTATAATTTTTTACCTAGTGTAGCAAGTTGGGTGCGAATAATTGTAGTAAAACTAAAAAGGTAAAATGATAAATAAATAGAGAACAAGAATGCCAGAAGTTAGTCTTTATTTTCACTAAAATCAGCAAATTAATAGCTACAGTTCCCACTGTGGTGATATCCCAATCCCTTGGCACATATGTTGCATTCTGGTTTTCAGTACATGATATTAGCTTTAATGCTGTAATACATTTATACGAAGCAGCTGAGTTAAAATTGCTTGGGGGAATATAATTTTAAATATGTTGTCTTTTGTGTGCAGAACATCACAGACATAATTCCCCATTAACATATTTTCCCCCATTTAATTCCATAAAGAATTTATTATGCTCCTCCTGATGTGCTTCAGGATGCACTATAGAACAATTAGCTGGATTTTTCTGCTAGTGAGAATGTTTAACTCAGGTGAAATCTTGAAGTACAATTGTTTGCAGCAGCTGAAATTCTGTCCTGGTAGGATTAGCATGGATGGAATACAACACATTAACATCAAGACATTGCAAGGTCTTTACTTGCCTTGCAATAGACCTTCCCTGAAATTTGAATGTTAATTCTAGTCCCCTGGGAAAGATCAGCTGCCTGATCTTGTGCTTGGTGTAAATCAGAAAGGACTACCTGAATTCAGTGGCTATTCAAGTGTGAAACACAGTGCAATACCTTCATCAGATCTGAAAGATACAGTCTAAGGTGACTTGAAATGAGCTTGTAATGAAATAAAAGTGCCTATAAAGTACTTTCATCTGGTATATAAATAAAGAACAATTTTAAATAGGCACCCTTTTCATTGTCTTCAGACACATTCTTGGTGCAATGAGAGCTGATAATGTGAATTTTTTTTTCCTTCTTGATTTATAAATCAGAGGCTGATTAAAGGAACTTCAGAAATGATGTGGCACAAAGACTGCTGTTAATGGTAAATATTTATTATTTAAATATACTTTGATTTAGTACCTTTTGTAACATCCATCACCTACTCAATTTTAAAACTAATTATTGCCAACTGAAGTAAAATTATTCCAGAAATTGATATGAAATGCTGCTGTCTGGTTTTCAAGATATTGCAGTACAAGGCAATTTTTCAAAGTGTGAAGCAATGGTCCAGAAAGACAGTCTGATTTCTGCTTCTTTATTGCACATAGTGTATCTTCCCTGGCCTGGATTGTAACCATAGGTGGTGAGAGGGTTTGGCCAATTTGTGGGAAATTTGGCTGGCCAAATTTGTCTGCTGCTCTAGGAAAGGAAGCTATTAATTCACTTCAGGGAAATGAGCAGGTTGTGGAAACAGCTGTCAAGAGAATGGAAGGAGCATGTGGAACTCAGACTTCCAGCTATAGCTATGAACCTGAGCTATTTGACAATTTTATTTGCTGCCTAGCTTCCTGTGGCTGATGTCAGAGTTGAAGTCACTTATCATCCATTTCTCTGTTTCCAAGAATATAAGAATAAAATCCAGCTCTGGTGAATGCAAGCATAACTCTGTAAATCTTTAAAGTCACTGTGCACATGGAGAAGTCCTGGGATATGTGACCTGCAGGAAAGAGTAGATGACACTCAAACCTTTTCCTTCAGTTTCTGTGGGGAGATGCATGACATGAGGTCAAAGACCAGCAGAAATCATTTTTTTGTTCTTGTTTAACTGAATCCCCACCTTCACAGAAAGCATCTGGTTTTCTTTGGTCACGTAAGGCTCTGAAAGTTATAATTCCATGATGCAAAACCAGCACAACTACAAAGTTTCCATCCAGGAAAATTAAATTAATTATAATATGCTGTCAGTAACTTAACTTTTCACATACTCACAACTCTCCAAAACTATATCTGGGCATTTTATAATCTGGCATGTATTTCTAAAGAAACAGACTTTGCTGTAGTGACTTGAGACAGGTACATTCACTTAAACAATTTATCAATGAACGATTTTCAATTATCAAGTAGAGAGATAAAAGCCAGTTTCCCATTCAAAAGTGTAATAAGACACAGCACTAAATTGTTTAGGAGAACATTTTGCTTATCTGAAACCCTTGGTTATAATTTGATCCCTTACAACTGAGATAAACTGACAGATTCAAAAGGGTTTACCTCCTGTTTAACAACAGAAGTCAACAAACACTTAGGTGTTTAGAAGAGAGATTGAGCATCTTGCCCTTAAATTACAATTGACTAATGTTTTATGTCTCTAGCTGGTTTCGTAAGTGGGACAAAAATTTCATTTTAGCAGACAGTTAAAAGATTGTCATTTACCTAGATCTTGTCAACCTATCTGCTCTGTAACTAAGTTATTGGATGTGGGATTTCTTATGACTTATCCTCATTCAAAAATAACTTTGAACCATGTAGCTCAGCCACTTGTAACACCATGACTGAAAATTCTTGTCTGATGTTTTTGGGTAACATGAAATTCCCTATGTCTCCTGTTGTCTTTACATTGAAAAGCCAGTCAGGGTTGTGGGTTGCCCGAGATACAATACTTATAAGAAGATTATTACTGTCCTTTTTTCTTATTCTCTCTATATATTGTTTATTATTTATTTTTTTCACTGTATACTGAATAGGAACAAAAGATGTTTTTTCAGATTGTCACTCTTGTTTAAATTTTCCACTCTTCCCCTCAGCACACTCTCCATGATTATGAATACATTGCAGCAGCTGAACTGAGCTGCAATGATGCAGCAGAGGTGTACGAATATATTTTGAGTGATAAATGACAGCACAAATGCCATTACAAACCAGCACTGTTATGCTTACTTTACTACATCTTGAATTTGTTGTTTTTTTTTTTTTTTTTTTTTTTTTTTTTTTTAATCTAATCGCTCTACCATCCTACTTTGGCAGAGGGAAACGTTGCATATTAAAAGATGCTGTATTTCATTTATCTTCGCACCTCTCATGCTCAGCATCTTGTAAATTTGTAAGCTGGAAAGAAGATAGACTTTGTGTTGTATTTGCTGTCCTTGAGCAGTCAGTCATGATTTCTGCCATCAAAATATGCACTGATGTTTACACCAGCAAATTGACTGTGCAGTATCATTAGATTAATTGGATGACACTTCATACTTGCTTAAGACATTATAAATCCCTGAACATTTTTCTGGTTTATTTAGTTTCATTTTTTTTCCAAATTAAATTATCTAATTTTACATATATCTCCCTTCATTTTCTTCATTTCCTCTCTTTCATTACTATCTCCTCTCCTTGTATTTATTACTAACTTCATATCCCTGTTTTATAAATCCATCTTTTCATGGCAACACTACAACAGTTTTAACTCCTATTTTTAACTTCCATGAAGTTAGTATGTTCAGTTTCAACTGAATTCCTAAAATTTTGCACTTTTCAGATAATTGTTCACCCAGAAGTCCAGTTGTTGTGTGTGACTTTTTATAGGATACCATACTTATCAAACAAAGCAGTAACCAAACATCAAACAATGGTCTATACAAACATCATGACGCCCATACAAACCAATTTGGAACAATATTATGTTCATTTTATGAATAAAACAGTGATAGTACTGTTCTCAATTTCTGATCAACAGCCTGCTGGATGTTACTGTTATCATGTGAAATTTTCTATTTTTTTCTGTTTTCAGACCTCCGATTACTGTTGATTGTACCTTCCTATACTGCAAAAAATAATTCTGCATTCATGGCACATTATAGTTGTGGAATTTTCTTCATCAAAGTGTACATATTTAGTCCATTGATATGAATTTTTGGTTCTTCAGCAAGGTTGTTGATACACCCCCTAAGACCATCTTCAGCAAACAGTAAGTGACAGAGTTCAGCCTCCAAAAGTATTTCCAAGTTCCTTATTCAGAAAAATGTTATACTATTCAGGATTCAGAACTTCAGAGACTACATGTTTCTAGTCACTTGAAAAGATGACTTAGAGAGTAATTGTCCATATTTTCCAAAATTATCTAACTTTTTTCCCTAGCTTAAGGGTCTCTCTACAGCTCTAAAAAGAAAATATGTTTCAGTTTCTATAGCTTACCATATTCTAAAAATTATTAATATGTCTTGCATAATATTTGTATGGCATTTCAAGAATATGAAGAATCTTTGGGAAACACTGACTTATTGTTATAGCTACCTAGGTAAAAATCTTGAAGACTTCATGTATCTCTTCTGCCTTTTAGCCCTCTTCTGAAAAATTAGATGTTTGAAAGTGCATTTCACATCCCCTAGAGAGCCATCCATTTCTTTAAGTCTAAGATTTTGCTAAAAAATTTAGTTCATAGTGTTACAGAGATGAAAGAGCAATATTTTTTCCTGGTACTGGTTTTTACCAGAGGCTAAACAAATCCTGTGTGAATTTCCAACTGTTCCTTAGATGTGTAAGTTGAACGATTTTAAAAATCTTGGTTTTCTTTCTTTTTCTATTTTTTTTTACAATATTCTGCATCATAGGCAGAGTTATTAAGTCAATCTGTTATTAAGGATGACTGACATTTTCTATTACAACACCTTGTTTTCAAAGGCCTGTAATTTTGACAAAGCATAACCACAGGGAGTAAAAATTTACTCACCAAATAACTGCAAAAGGTTGATTTCCTGCTTTCTTGCTTGAACAAAATCAATTCTTTCATCTCCTAACAATAGGACATGCAGAAATATTGTTTTCATATATTATAAAAACTATGGCAAACATTTTTAAAGAAGGTCTAGTAAATTTGTTTGGAAAAAAATAACTAAAAACTTACAGGAGTTGGTTTTCTGGGGGAAAAAAGTGATTTGTCATCCTTATAAATGTCTTTTAAGTTGGATGGCACCTGCAAAACTTGATGAAAGATTGAGAAATTGCTTATTTATTTTGCTCAGTAAAATGTTTTTGTTTATTTTTAAATTTTGGCTAAATTTGCAACTCACCTAAATTGCAAATCCACCTAAACTGAACCACCAAGAGCAAAGACAATGTTGAAGCAATGCACTGCGAGTTGGATGACCATGCAGAAAACATAAATATCTGCTTTCTTAGAGAAAACCAGCTTTCTTGGAGGAAAAAAAATACATTTAAACGTCTCCTCGCCCTCCAAGCCTGCAGCCCTTCTCCTTCCACTTCTTATTTTCTTTCAATGAAAGAGGAATTTCACTGGTTTGGGACTCAGAGTTTCTCAGAGAAATGTAATGAAAATATCATCCACCTTCTGCTTCAGCTAATCTTTTAGGCAAAAGGTCCATGCAGCTCCCCTGCCCAGTGAATATCATCCACCCTCTGTAGTTGGTTCCTTTATTTTCTCTCATCTACCTTGCCAGGAGCCCTAGAGCTCCCTTTTCTCCCACTGACCACAAATAAGAAAAGGAAACCAGCTTCAGATTCTTGAAACTGTTTGTTTTTCTGTGCTCTGATGATGCCAGTTATGGAGAGGAAAGGAAGGCAGAGCAGTGAAATGGAGGTTTGTGGTGAGCTTTATCTCTGTCCCAGGAATCTATGCTGATCTAGAACTCAACAGAGTGAGCAATAATGGGAATTATTGCAATTCACTGGCAATAAGAGAACTCCACCCTGAGATGGGAGATCTAACCTGGAAGCTACATCTACAGTTTCGAAATATACACTGCAAACATAGGCTCAAGCATTCCTTATAAAGGTCCTAGCTGATAAATTGTTTGCTCGGTCCCTGGCATGGGCTTTGCCTAAGTTAGCATTCACTCCCTGGACAATTCCCAGGGAATTACCATTGGCCATAGTACATCCCTTTGAGCTGTGTTAGTGACTGAGGGAGTTTATTCATGAAGATGCATGATGCATGGTTATTTTGTGAAGGACCAGAAAGCGTTCCAAAGACAATATTATTTTCTAGTATAGAAGTATACTTTAGGTCACACTTACACAATGTCCTGACAGAGAGAGATTGGAAATGTATAATTTTTAACCGGATTTAAATGTGACATAAGATTATAACTCCCTACCATCAGAGAATGCACATACCTGATGTGTGTGCCAAACTCTCAAGTCAGAGGGTAGGGAGGGGCACTAAACACTGACAAAGATGAGCACAGCCTGGCCATCATAGTAGCAAATCCTATATTCAGTGACAAAGCCAATTAGAAAATTCCCGGTATCCTTCTCTTTGCCACTTGTTTGCTCTTAATCTCCATTTTAGTGTCCACTGTACTTATAGAGTTGTCTGTGAATTCATGTTGTAAACTGTTCCATTGAGCAAATATGAGAGGATTTAGTCTAGGGGACTTAGTCTTTGCCACTCAGGTTTGGGTGGACATTGCTCAGCCCTGAATTTCATTTGTATTCAACTGCCTTATGTTTTGGTTTAAATGAGGTGTTCCTCAGGACTACAGGTTACTGAGGAACATCACAGCAGAATGACTGCATCTCCATGGGAGATAGGATGTGTGATGTCCTCAAGGATCTGAATGTTGGACATTAAGTGTTATTAGGTGTTGTTGAGAAAGACAATGTTTCAAAGGTTATCTTTTTCTAAGGAAATGGTGAATTAAATTAAGACATTAAATCAAAAGTAGATGGGATTTTTTCCAGGATTATGATTAGTTTTCTTTTCTATTTAAAATTAGGCTGAACTGACTGGGAATTCAAGAAGTCCAAAGTTACAGACAGGGCACTTACAGTTATTTAAGAAATTCTGCCTCTTTGAAAAATAATTAAATATATTATACATTTGCATTGCACATTCTTCCTGCCTAAAAGATATGGGACACTTTACAGCTCTTTCATGTGCACATTACACAAAATAGATTATAGAGAAAGAACATGGACTTGGGTCTTATCACCAACTAACAGAACAAGAAAGTGGCAGTCATACATTTTGAAGTCAAGTGTTACTCTTCTAGCTACCTGAAGTAGCTAACAAATTCTGTATTAACTAGCCACCAGTGGAATATCCCAGGTTGTTTGCAGGTGATGGAAAATCAACCACCCCCCTTTTAATATTTCCTAAACACACTTTCTGTAGCACTTTCTTCTATACAAGGGAATTCTCCACATTCTTCTGGGCAACAAATTTTTTTGAGCAGCAGGAGGGGATCGTCTTGCTCCTAGGGAGACATCAGCACAGCCTGGTCTGAACAGCAGGGAGCTGGAAACTCTTATTTATTCAACTGTGTCCATTTAGTGCTTTTGAGTAAAGGGTGATTTTTTGTAAAAGCTTGTGTCACAGCCCCACCAAGCTCTCTGCTGTGTGTCAACTCTTCTACAAAGCCAGAATAGAAGAATGCAAATATAATAAGTATAAAACCTCTCTGAAATAAAACATGGAATGGCTGTGCTATGCAGACAGAGACGACTGAAGAGTTAGTTCCTTACTTTCCTCTGCTGCATTAAATATTCCCCATATCCTATGCACTGACACAGGAACTATTGTAGGAACTACTGTTTCTTAAACAGAGATACACAAAATATTTTTGCATTAGAATAATCTGGTTTTGATACCCAAAAGTTACCCCTTGACAGTTTTGCCAGCACTACATTTCAGCATTACATTGTTTTTCTCTGTATGTGGTTGCATGATATGCAATTATGTTATTTCAGCTTTTAAATGCTTTAAAAATGCTTTATTAAAAGACATTATTATACAAAATGCTTGAGCATAAGGCAATATAAGATGTCACTTTTTTTAGCTGTAATGTGGTCTCAGTGCAATTAACCTCCTCACACACTGTTCTGATATATCATTCTAGTTGTTTAGTAATGAAGAATTTGTAAAAATAAAAAAAACCCCAAAACTACCAGACCTCAAAATATATTTGTTGGATAAATTACATTATTCATTAGCTCTATCCCATTATTTTATAAAAGGAAGGTAAATAGTTGCCTAGTAAAATGTTCTGTTTGGAATAGTATTTTGGAAGAGATTTTTATATAACAGTAAGTAAATGTGAAATTATCTCCTGGCATTCACTGGATATGTACTATGGCATGAAATCAGCTCTTCTGATGTGATGTTTGTGATGACACAGAACTCAGATATGTGGCAGTATCAGACAACACTACACTGAACTTCAACATTTACTCAACTGAAGAAAGAGAGCATAAGCTACAGATAAAATATTGCACTTATTTTTTAAAATTTATTCTGTGTCTTGTATCTTTCAAGGAATGCAGTATTTTTCTTTTACTTGTATGAATATTGTTTCACTTAGATCTTCTGCTTGATGGCACCTTTGAACACATCTGGTCAAGAGTGCTGCCCCCACAGCAGTGCAGCTCTGCAGGGGAATAGCCTTAACCTGGCTGGTTTACTCATCTCAGGTACAGCACTGGTGGCCAAAGGTTCCTTTTTTCAGGGAGCATTCACTGGTGCTGTCCTGGAAGAAACAGTTCTTGGCAACTGCACTGACAGTGGGTGTCTAGAAATCCAGAGGAGATTGCGTGCTTTTTACACTCCACTGCCAAATGCCTGGCCTAATGTTGCCATATAGGAAATGTGAATCCCCAGTAGTATCAGAGTCTACATAAGAGAACTGTAAATCCCATTGGCAGGAAAGGGGAAATGCTCATCAGGCTGCTGGCTTCACTGCTGTCTCTGAGTATTTATTTAAGAGAAGGTCATCAGGACTAGAAAAGCGATGAGGTCTACAAGGGTATTATTAATATGAGTTTTCTCAGATCAAAATTAAGCTGACGCTTCTTGCTGTAGCATTTCAATTGATGTTTTAAAAAACTGATATTTTGAGTTTTGCATGTATAACATGGAAGATACTAAGGACATGTTAATTTTCTTACACCATACTTTTGATACACATTTCCCTCAATATCTTTTATAATATTGCTAAATTCAGTGTACAACATGGTAAGGGAAAAGGTATTTATCTTCCAAGAACCAAAGGTAAATTATCCTGCTAATTACAGGCAGTTAACTTTCAGTTTCACTGTTCACCCTAATGTGTGAAACTTCTTATTTGTCATTATATATCCCATTCAATGTAGTGTCAAATGATTACAACCCAATCTGCTGGGCCACATGGTATTACTGTGATATGTGTTTTCAGCTTCAAGGCTAAAGAGGATATTGCCCTAGACAGAACTAACATGCAATAACACTGGAATGATACTCAAGGAAAAGAACTAATTGTGAAACACTATAGAAAAACCCCTCTATTGGTTAAGAAACCTGTTTATAAAACAAAATCATTCACTAAAAGAAATGCATAATATAATTCAAAGTATCTTCCTAACCTGATGTTCTCCTAGTTAAAAGTCTGCCCTCTGTGATTTAGATTTAATTTCACAGAATTGCAGAGTGGTTGAGGATGACAGGGACCTTTGGAGACTTGTCTGCTCCAAATCCCTGCTCAAAGTGGGATCAGCCAGAACAGCTTGCGAAGGGCTATGTCAGTTTATTAATATCCCCAAGAGCAAAGACTCGATGGCTCCTTTGGGCAACCTGTCCCAGTGTTTGACATCTTCAAAGTAAAAACTGTCTTTGTGGTTTTTTGGGGTTTTTTTGGTGTTTTTTTTTTTTTTTTTTTTTTTTTTTTTGCTGTTGTTTGGTTTGGTGTGGGTTTTTTTGTTCTTTTGTTTGAGGGTTTTTTGTTGGTTGGTTGGGTTTTTTTGATTTTGTTTTGTTTGTTTGTTTGTTTTTGTTTTGGGGTTTTTTTTCCTACTTATATGTAAATAGAATTTCCTGTATTTTTTCTAGAGCCCATTGCCTCTTGTCCTTTCTCTGGATGCCACTGAGAGGAATCTGGCTCTGTCCTATTTTCATCCCATCAGACATTTATATACATTAATTAAGTGCACTCAGAGTCTTCCCTACACTAGGCTAAAACTTCCCAAGTCTCTCAGCTTTTTCTCAGAAGAGAGATGCTCAGACCCTTAATCACCGTAGTGGCCCTTCACTGGACTCTCTCCGGTATCTCTGTGTTTCTCCTGTACTGGGAAGCCTGGAACTGATCCCAGCACTCCACATGGAGCCTCACCAGTGGAAAGCAGAAAGGAAGAATCTCCCCTCTGGACCTGTTGGCAATGCTTTTCCTCACACAGCCCAGGATGCTCCTTTGCTTCCAAGGTGTACCACTGGCTCACAGTCAGCTATTGGCAGCTCTCAAAACCAAAGCCAGTTAATTGCATGGAAGTTTTTGGAATTAAATATCATCTGAATGGGTCACTTGAACCTGTCTTTCCTTCATCTTTTTTTTGGCAGATGTCCCAGATGTATCCCAAATTAACAATTTTTATAGAAGCTGAGTGGTTTCACAAGGAGAACCTGCAATTTTTTTCAGAGAACTGTGTGGCTTGTTAGTTTGTGATCTGGCATTAGAGCACACTGAATCATGTAAATTGGGCATTAGAAAGGCAGGCTCCTAACTTTGAAATAATTTTCTTGACTTGCAGTGTCATAAAAACATTAGTGTCTCATTTTTTTCCTAATTGGAAGTCTGTGCTTCAACTACCTTTTGAATGAAGATGTATGTATTCTGAAGGTGTGTTTTGATAAATTGTGTTTCTTTGAGAACTAAGGAGTTCACTGAAATTAAAAATTTGACAGCTACACACATAGGCATAAAGAAGAAATAGGTGCCACACATTTTTTTTTTTTTGAGAACTAAATGTCTAGATATTTTTGAAACAGGAGTCAAAGATCTGCAATGGGAAATTCAGTGTGCTTTGATTACCTAAAAGTGAGTCACTTTGTGGAAATATTCTAAACCTGAAAAAATAAAAACCTATCTGTGAAAAATAAAGATTATGTAAAAGACTTTCACATTTATTTGATAATTTTTAAAATTATTTAATGCTGTTGGTTGTGATTTATCCCCTAACTAAACTGTGTTTGTGTTGATTCTGAGAGAAAACGGAGGTGTTCAAGCACAGACAGATGTGTTTTGGTGATTTATTTCATACTGCTTCTTCTCTTTGGATTTGAAACAAGTAATAATGAATTCCTTCCAATTCCTTTGTAAGCTTAGGCCAGGGCTTTGTGTTCTACAACCTACTCATCACACATAATTATATGGGGCAATTATATGGTATAGCTGGTTGCCTATAAGAAACAAAAGGGACAAAACTCACATTTTGGTTTTGATTCTCAGGCTGAATTTAAATTGTATAAAAAAAAATTTCCTCCTGGTCTGATTCTTAGTGAACATAATAGCTTCTGGAATTCATGCCAGAGTACTTAAAGGTGGTAAATTTGATTACATTATAAGTATCTCCCTGGAATGCCTTTGCCCCTGCTACTTCAGTATGCTTCTAATTTCACAGAAAATAATGCTTGTGATTAGTTTTGGGGTATTCTTGAGTTGTGTTGCATTATTATCTTTCAGTGATGTATTTGCATATCATGTAAAACCCAGAGAATTTAGGAGATGTGATGTTAAAAATTCAAATTAATAAGGTTCATGATCTATTAAGATTTCCTCTCACCCCGTTCTATTTTGTAATACTGTAAGGCTTCAAGAAATGAGGGCATGAAGGCATTTTCAGTCTTCACATTGCTAATGCAGGCACTCTTGGAATGTGCCTTTCGTAAAGAAGACTCATGGTGAGACTGCACTGTGAATTCCTCTACTGCCCTTCTCTGAGTTTGCCTGTAGGGAAGCATTGTTCTGGACAAAATGTACAGAGATTAGAAGCAGGTTAGGAATTCCAGGAATCCTGCACTTTATGCTTACAGGCAGTTTTGTTGCTGTTAGCCATGTTGACCTTGTAGTCCCCAGAGATCTGCACGTAACGAGGTTCCCAGATGCCCCATCTCAGCTTTTGACAGCTGAATACGCAAGAAGAACCTCTGATGCCTTCAGACTTCCAACTTTTGTCATGCCCGTGAGGCCAGTGTCTGTTGCTATGACACAGCTTTACAGTCAGCCTTTCAGCCAGGTCAGTAGTTTCATGTCTTGCTACATAAATAGAATTAAACCATTCTTGCTGAAAAATGTTTTTCTGTCCAGCTTAAATTGGACATTGTTTCTCTCATGTGGAGAATTCTTTGTTTTACTTCCTCATCTTGGAGGAAACCAACCTCTTATGATGACCTCTTAAGAGAGTCTAAGCACACAAAATAGACCTTCTTAAGTCCATGTTCCCCAAATACCCTTTTCTATCTACCTATGTCTTCCTTTGAGTCCACTTGGTATTTCAAAAGGGACAACAGTCTAGGGTTAAATCCTCTGTGCTCTTCTCCATTGTGTCCACAGGGATTGTCTGGATGTGTGTTTAATTGCACACCAAACCTGCTCCACCAGCCCTGTAGAATCTAAATCCTTCTCTGGATCTCTTGACTGCTTAATCTGTCTAATGATTCCATAGCTAATTCAAACAATTTTACTAATTTTAATTTTAATAATCTTAATCTTATATTTAACCCTAGATATTTCCTCCCTTAGGAGACTTATTGAATTATCCAAGCAGCAACAGATATTTTTCACCACTCAGGAGTTAGAAAGGACTTCAGTGATTTGGACATATATGCCAGCCATTGGCAAGGAAGAGAAGAAGAAAAGAATATGACTGCAAACAATGATGCCCCAGAAATCTAGTGGATTATAAATCAATTTGTCAAATGCTTTTTTTAAACTGGTTGGGGTTTTTTTGTTTTTTTTTTTTTTTTTTTTTTTTTTTTTTTTACCTTATGGTTCTTAAGGACCTTATTTTTCTATGCAAGCCTTATAGATTCCTTGAGTGTGTAGCCTAGTTCAGGCACAAATGGAGGGGCAAGTTTTGAAGTGAGTTGGCAGGGGGACTGATAAAGACAGTCAGAACAAGGAAACATCCTTAATAAAGAAATATATTTTTATGCAGACACATTTTTTCAATCCTTCTAAACATACTTATCATTTGTCACAACATTTCAAGCTTGCTAAAGGAGTGAGTAAAATTCACAGCAGTCCCAACACTCCTGTCTGTTTAAGTAAGACCGATTTCTATTCCAGTTTCTGAATGGCAATTTCTTGAGCTGTCAGACAAACACAGGTTGTGTGTCAGCTGCAAGGAATGTGGTCCTCTATATTTCTGTACAATGACTGAATGCATGTTGCATCTTGATGGAACATGAGAAGGAATTTGATCAAAACATTTTATATAGAAAGGGACACTACAAAAGACCTACTAAGTCACAAAAGCACTTGAAGGAGGTTTCACGGGGACTTGGCAGATTAAAAGCTGACAGCACAACTGTCACAGTCTTAGTAGAAATCCAGCTTGATCTCATTACCAACAAAGGGTGAGAGACACACAGGAACAGTAATGAAAACACATGAACACTAATGAAAAGAAATTCAGATTACAATGAAAGTATCCATTGTATTTTTGTGTTCTCCAGCATGGGTAGGCCATAAACAAACCCAGTACAGGAGAGAAAAGTAGTATAATACAAAAAATAAATGAGTTAATGAAAATCAGAATTCAGCCTTTTTTTAAAGCTTTTTGGAACAGACTTTTGCACTAAATCTATATCTACAAGGGAGTTTGTGTCATAATAAATCATATCAAAATAATGGGAAATATAAAGACGAAAATCCCAAATGACAAGATGGCCAAATTCAAAATGTTTTCAATTTTTAAAAAATTTTCACTCCTGTCAGTCTAGCTCAGACTCAAGGTGAATGAATTTTTAACTTCTTGGGGTGGTATAGGTGGGGTAACTTAATAAATCAGCTACAAAAAACCCCTACAAGTATTTGGCAAAAAGAATACCATCTTGTATATGCTCATGGATGATATAAGACTGTAAATCCTGACTACCTAATATGAAACCAACTCTCTAATTGTGTAGGGATGCTTTTTATTTTAGTTTGAATACCATTTGATGTTAGAAATAAAATATTATAGAATAATTCAGAATTTAATATTTTTGATTTTTTTTGTGTGTAATATAACTTTATTTCATTCACATCCACAAAACACATTAATGATTATTAAATTTTATTTTATTTATCAATCCTTAAATTAATTTTTAAAGAACAAAATATAAATCAATATCTGCTAGATATTGATATAGGCAGCTCTAGAAATGGTGCCTAGTTGTCTCATTTTTTCACCAATAAAAAGAAACTGTAAAATGATGATCCCAAGTAAAATAATTTCATGTAAAAATTTGAGATTGAAAGATAGGTTAAAGATTAAGGTCTTAGTATTCTTTTTACTGTAAATAAATACTTTTGTGGTGCTTCAAGACATCATTTGGATTTATACCATTATTTTATAAAACTATGACATAGGCTTTAAATAATAGAAATAATAGTTTTTATTCTTCTCATTAAAAGGTGTTTCTGATGTTCCTAGAGTGACTCATTAAGCTTAACTGATTTTTCCTTTTCCATTAATTTTTAAAAATATACTTCAGAGCTACCCAGTTCCTAATGTATTAAGAGAGTTGCCTCTGATCCTGCTTAACCCTGTCGTACTCTTGCTTTAATGCTCCCCAGGCAGTGTGTGTTTCATTTGAGTAGAATTTCCTGAACAGAAACTTCTGGGTTCTTGTGTTTTTATTCTAATCACAGGGTGCTTTTACTGTGCAAATAAAAATATGTCAAAACTATCCAGACAGCTCTTCCTTGTGCAGTTGATGGAGAGGCAGGCTTTACTAGTCCTCTACCTCTTGGCTTCCATGGCTCAATTTTTTTGCCTAAAAACTTGTGCAGTCATATGGGGCCCTTAAGATTGTATGAGACACCCCAGCATGTCTAGTAACAGTGGCAAAAGGCCTGAGAATGACCCATTGAATGGACAGGAAAATTACAATAAGGCATCTGAAAATGTTGTCAATTCCAGCTTTTAGGCAACTACACTTAATTGCCTGAATTCCTTGTAACTTAAATGGAACATTATATTTTTCAGCAGTGTTCACAAAATTATTATATTTATTTCTCTGGAATAAATAGATTTCATTTTTTCCCCATAAGCTTCTGTGGTTCAAAGTGCCAGTCTATATTGCTTCAAGAGTTACTATTTCACAGCTCCTGGTTTCTTTAATAGATGTATACAGACAATGAAGGATTACGTACATGTTTTAATCAAGCCCAGAATTCACAGGAGGGCATCTGGAAAGTGTGCATTCAGGGAATGACCAGGATGTCTGAGAATTACACTGGCCTTTGTATAATGTCAAGTCTGAACCATTACTCTCTAAACCATCCTTATTGCTTGCAAAATTTTGGGTTAAAAACTTCAATACTTAGCTCTGTGACCACAGTCTCAAAAGAAAGTGCCACTTTATTGTAACATAATACTACTACTGAGTGCAGATTCAATGTGCACTTCCTGTTGGAGCCAGGTCAGAGATATTATTATTTCTCATCACACATTTGATTTATTTGTTTGTTTTACTCCATCATTCATACATTTTTGTGACTTTCAAGGAAGTGATCTCTCTGCTTCCAAGGAATGTTTGAATATTTTTTTTAATTTGCCACAAAATTGTATTATATAATCACAAAAGGCATGCATGACGTTCCACAGACCATGCTGTGGAGGCACAAGTGGTATGCATGCATGCAATATCTAATTGATCAGTGGTGAAGAAGGAGTAAAAAGAAGGTAAATTTCATATTACCTCCCTGCACTCTCTGTAGAATTTAGCATCTAAAACAATATTCTTAATTTATTGCCCAAAAGAAACCTCATTTGAGTCTTAGAGCTACACCCATATTGGCTCACTGGGTGTAGTTGTAAGTGGATGGTGAACACAGAGTGAAATTGTTAACAGGTCTGCTTCCTGGGCTATGCAAATGAGCAACATCAGCTCCCCATTTCAGCCTTGTGACATTTAGAGTTAGAGCTAGTAAAACACAAGAAGATAACTGTAATAAGAACAATGATACAAAGTAGCAGAAGATAAGCAAGTATCTGCAAAACTTTACTGAATGTCAAAGCCATTCAATTGCATCACCTGTAGGGCAAAAATTGAAAAAGGCATGCTCTTTATCTCCATAGCTGTAATTTCCATAATGCTCAGAAGACTTTAGGTCAATTCTAAAAATAAAATGTGCCTGCAGTAGTTAGCCAGGATTTGTGTCTAATTCAATTCACAGGAGTTGCAGAGGTGGAAGACACTGGATGTCTCTGACCTCCCATGGTTAAGAATCAGGACCATTGAAAGTGCTTGGTAACAACAGTGAGG